ATTTGTTATTGAAGATCCATACATATGACTGGCAGCTCCTGCAAAAAAATCCTGATGAGATGACCGTAAGGCACAATGCATTGCTGCCATCGTCCCATTTTCAGTGCCGCAGTCTGTGCGAAGTCGCACTGGTATGACTCCAAACTCTGAAGCACACTGAACGTAGTGTTGAGCTATGACTTCTGGGTTGCTGTTAGTTGCTCCGCAAACCAACCATAATACCTTCCGCGAATAGCCATCAATACAACCACTGATAGTCAAACCATATGGCTTTAATTTGTCATATCCATCAAAATGCCAAGTGTGGTTTGGTCCAGGTGAATCGTAAACTCTTCGTACAAACTTTTTCCTTGAGCGCTTTTGGACTCCAGATGGGTCGAGCTCTGCCATCATCACCATGACATCATGCCTTTTCACAGAAAGATGGTGTTTCTGATGCAGTGTCTGCCACATTGAACGGTATCCATAATGTTGACCAGGTCCCTTCAGCTCTTCTATTATTGCAACACGAATCAAGGCCTGAGTTGAGTAATGTTTTTTGCAGGACAGTGATAAACTTCTTAATCTACATTTAAGTGGGGTCAGACTGATCTTCTGTTTATGTTTTGAGGCCAAAATGTCCAAAGTTTCATTATAGGAGTAACCGTCTCTGAAATATTTCTGAATGAGGTCTTCGATGGAAATGTTTTCTTGAATTGATCCTTATAAACAGAAGAAAAAAAAAGGGAAATGGTAAAAAAGATCATCAGACAAGAAATGTGCAGTTTTAAAAAACATTGACATTTTAAAACCAATGTATTGTCTCATTATTAAACTAAATTAATGTGTTGCTTCTTTGGGCCTCAGTAAATTCAAGACAAATAAAGTCTACAACTATAACCCTAACCTGGACGACTAAGAATCTTCACAGATATATACCTTACTGGTTTAAATGATTGCAAAATAACGTGTATGCAATTTATATAACATAAAAATAATATAGTAAATAAGGACTGCATTCAAATGTAAATAAACTACAAACAGCCAAATGGCAGCTTTGTGAACTGGTTGAGACAACCTTTTTTTAATATGTTATTTGTGAAATACTTACTGTTGTCGACAAACGCCAAAAACTCAATATGTTTGCCACATGAACCGCAGAACTTGACAACTTCTCCCACGTTATAGCCACAATATGGACAAAACATTCTTACCCTGAAACAAACAGCATTTTTCTTTTAAAATGGAGTATTAAAACGGCAAAGGGCAGACCTAAGCTAAAGTGTATATACACAGACGCATTTCCAACACAACAGCTACGTTGCTAGCGTAAAACTGAACTTCCAAAACACAACTACCTAGATAACTTCAATTACACAATTGAGAGCATATGTGTATTAGTTGTTGATTTATACACAAACACTAATATATATTCAAATAATTAAAAAAAAAAAAAAAGGTTCATTTACCTTTTATTGCCACACACCAAATCCGGTCATTAGAAACTTCCTGTCCTATGTAGCCACTAGGTAACAAAAACTCAACACTGCCCCTAGCGTCCTGGAGCACTTCCGTTGTGCTTTGGATTTTGCATGTGCTTTGTATTTTGCAAGTGTTTTGGAGTTTGCATGTGTTTTGGAGTTTGCACGTGTTTTGGAGTTTGCACGGATTTTGTAGTTTGCATGTGTTTTGGAGTTTGCATGTGCTTTGGATTTTGCATGTGTTTCGGAGTTTGCATGTGTTTTGGATTTTGCATGTGCTTTGGATTTTGC